GCACCTGTCTTTGGGGTGTGAATTAGGGGGAAAGGATGGGAGAGAGAGTGTGGCAGAGCAAGAGAAAGCTCTTTTTCATTCCAGTTGCCAGAGCTGGACTAGAGAACCTGTCAGGCAGCAAACACCCACAGCAAGTATAAGAAACACAACTTTGTGAGACCAAGCAAGATTTAGGAGCAGTATTCAACACCACAATATTAATCAGATTATGTGTGGACTTCTCCAATGGCTCCACCTACTACCTAGAGAACAATATGGAGCATGGGTTATGGCACAGAAGCATTTTTTCAAATTTGAGAGGTGATTATGCAGCTTAAAAGAAAACTTACAGCTATACTCCCCTACTTATTACATAGTTTTAATTGTTTATGGCTTTCCCAAACCCCAAATCCTCCATCAAGTAAATTTAAAGTCCTGTTCACACATGTCAGTCTTACAAAATATTACGTGTCCTTTTGCCTGCAATGTTCAATGCAATACCTCAAATGCAATCACCAGTTTTTAAAGTTTACTTGCATATCTGTGTGCTAACCTGCAACAGAAACTAAGATCTAACATCTTCTGTGCTACCAGCCACAGAGGTCAGAGCTAAAGCACTGCCTTCCCTCAGGAACAGTCAAATCTACCCTGAACAATGCTGCTTCCTCATCTTGAAGATCATCACAGGTTAATTTACACTGAAATTTACACTGTACAACCTCTTCCTAACTAGCCAGTTAATCAGGTTGCCCAATGGCATATCCAGTCCAGTAGTATTCTGGCCTGGATCTCCATGGATGGAGATCCCACAGCTTCTTCAGGCCCCTAATCCAGTGCTTAAATACCTTCATGGTGCAAATGTTTGTCTTTATTCTGTCTCTAGAGTTGCCCTTCCCACACCTTGTGTCTGTTGCCTCCTGTCCCTTTGCTGTGAAGATTCTACTTCCCACATTCATTAAGAGCAGCAGTAAGGTCATAACAATGTGGATGTTATGGCAGTGAAGAAGGGAAGGCAGATTATGATCCAAAAAAGCTCAGAAGTTCCACGCTGAACTCAGGTTCAACACAGTTCTTAGGTGCCACTAACAGATAACGACACTGGTCTGTTCCAACTTGCTGTTGAGCAGTTCAAAATACACTTTTTAAAGTTCTAACTTGCTAGTGCAGCAGCTTACATTTTTCTCTAGTTCACAAAGACAGAATTTCTCATTTGACTAATCACAGTGCACACGAACTTATGCTTACACTTCAGGCTTTATGGTGTGGAAACAAGGCTAACACACAATTCCCATCACTGACTTCTGGCCCATGACCCAGAAAGTCCTTAACTAAACTACAGCGGAGGCCTTCGGCTGCAGCCAGCAGATGCTGGGATAACTGAGACCCGACTGATCAGGATGGAAGGAGCGATTACGGACAGCAGCACGATTTCAAGCATGCATATGCAATGTGCAAGTGAAACCTCTGGAGGACATCCCAGCGTTTCCAAACTAGAAACACACAGCGAGGCAGCAGCTACGACACGTCCCTGCCAAGAGAAACACACGGCTGCGGAAGGCGTTTCTACCAGAATCAGCACTGCCACCACAAGCACACACAAAAATAAAAATAAATAAAACCAAAACAAAACAAACGAAAAGTACCAGAAGACCTGACAATCCTGCTAGTGTCACCTGCGACAGAAGAGACGCTGGGAGTCTCTTCTGTCGGAAGAGGATGGTTCAGCCCTTGTTTTGCCCCAAGAACGGGGGGCTCCCGGCGGTTCGGAGGGCTCGGGGCTCGCTGTCCCGACACGCGGGCACGGCCCCGGCCCGGCCGCCCCCGCCCGCAGCCCCTGCGACTGCAGCGGGCCCGAGCTCGGCGGCGGCAGAGGCCAGCACGGCAGGTCAGCTCCCGCCCAGGCACCCGCGGGGCCCGGCCCGGCCCGGGGCCCTCCGCCCGCCCGCCAGCGCCCGCTCACCTTGCCCCGCCGCTTCCGCCGCGCCGCCAGGGGGCGCGCGTTCGCCGCGAGCCGGAGGGGAGGGGCGGCGGGGGCAGAGGGCGCCGCCTGGCGGCGCGGGCGGGAGCCCGTAACCACAGAATTCCAGAGGGGATCGGGCTGGGAAGGCGTTCTGAGGTCATCGAGACCACTCTGTGACCGAACACCACCGTGACAGCTGGCCCGCAGCACTGAGTGCCATGTCCAGCCTTTCCTTGAACACTTCTAGGGACTCCACCACCCCCGGGCAGCCCATTGCCGTGTCTAATCCGTGGAGGAATCCCTCCTCATGTCCCAGCTAAACCTCCTCTGGCGCGGCTCGAGACTGCGTCCTCTCCTGCTGCCACTGGTTGCCTTGGGAAAGAGGCCGAACCCCAACCAGCCGCAACCTCCTTTCAGGGAGTTGTGGAGAAGGATACGGTCAGCCCTGGGTCTCCATTTCTCCAGATCCACCCACCCCCAGCACCAGGCACCCGCTGTTCACCCTCCTGCTCCCTTCCCAGTACCTGCAGGTGGGTGCAATCCTCCTTCTCCAGCCCCGCTGGAGGTGCCACAGCAGCAGCAGCAGCATCCATGCCTGGTGCCCACTCGTACCCGCTGCAGTTCCTCGGCGCTCCAGACACGTTGTGGTTCCCACAGGGCATTTACGGTGCTGTTAAATCATTCCTGGCTGCCCGACGGCTGTGGATGTAATCCCTGGATATGGGTATAAAATTGTTTTTAAAAAATGGATTTACAAATAAAAATCAGTCAAAGAAGTAAGCTGTTCCAGTGACACTGGGTGCAGCTCCAAACACACGGGTATTGGTGCAGATACCCTACCTGCTAGGATGGCATGGAACACTGCGCCCTCAGCCTTTGGTGGGATGAACCTGGCCATCTCTTCCAGATCTCCTCCTGCTGTGCTTTTCTGACCAGCTCTCTTCTACACGTGCATCATTTTCCTGTTGGATGTCTGCAGCTGCTCAGCTGAGCAGTTGCACTCAGTTTACCGTGTACCTGTTTCCATTGTTCTCCAATTAATAAAGTGCAGTTGTGCCCACTCTTTACTGTGTAATTGCTTCCACTGTCATCTAATTAATGAACTGGTCACAGCCCCAAGCCTGCCAGAACTCAAGAGGAATTCCGACAGGCACGTGGTGTGACTCTTGGGGCTGCCCTGTGCAAGGCCTGGAGCTGGAGCTCAATGATCCTTCTGGGTCCCTTCCAACTCTGGATATTCTATGATTTTATTAATTTACTGTTTTATCAGTATCATATTCTTCCCCAATGCAAAATAGTTTGAGCTGGTTAACCTTACACACAAAAACCTACCAAACCAGAATTTTCCTATATTATTTACTTGGCAAAATATATCCAACAAAAGTCATAAATGCTGTTTTCATTTTGAGGCAGGCACAGGTCCTTTGCTAGTTTTCATTTCTTTTTTGGTTGTATGATGGAGAGGCTAAAAAATAAGTGTACCAAGGGAGTGATTTGATCTGCAAGTACATTTCTATTTGTATGACAAGAACTCTAATTTCTATAACACCAGTTTTTAGTTCTAGTTTCTATAATACAGCTCTAAAAAGAGTAAAAATTTAGAGCAAGCCACTAAAATAATATAATAACTGGTTATTATTAGAGCAGTACTATAACATTTCAGGAAAAAACATTTACCATTTTTTATTAGAAAAATAATATATATAATTCAAAATCCCTCTTGTTTCTCAGTAATTATTTTGTCTATCATCTTGAGACCCCAGAAAATACTCTTAGATAACTGTGACAGAATATAACAAATAGAAATTATTTTTTACTCAGAGAAGCTGCTGATAGCACAGTGGAGCTGCTAAAAGATGTAATAACCTGGGAAAAACTTAAACCTTGTTAGAAAATATTAACAGCTGCTGAAATAGAGGAGATAGAGACAGAAATATCTGCTTTTAAAAATAATCAGCACGCTGATTATATATCTCCTACCCAAGATTAGTGATCCATTGTGAGTGGGAGCACAGCTCCTAGCATCATGTATCAGAGAGCATGGCATTTGAAAGGTCGTGCAAATTCTGATTACTGAAGTGGTTAATTGGTCACAGAATCAGAATTATTAAGTTGGAAAGGAAGTTTAAGACCACTGAGTCCAATCAATAACCTAACTCTACCAAGCCCACCATTAAACCATCTCCACAAGTGCCACATCTGCACATCTTCTAAATACTTCCTGGGATGGTGACTTCACCACTGCTGTGGGCAGCCTGTTCCAATGCTTGACAACCCTCTCAGTGAAAAAATTTTGACTGATAACCAATCTAAACCTCTCCCAGCACAACTTCCTTTTCCTCTAGTTCTGTCCCTTATTACCGGGGAGTAGAGACTGATTCCCACCTGGCTGCAACCATGCTTTCAGGTAGTTGGAGGTGTTGGTCCTTTTCTCCAGGCTAAACAACCCCCCCTCCCTCAGATTTTCCTCGTAAGACCTCTGCTCCAGACCCTTTACTAGCTTTGTTGCCCTTCTTTGGACACATTCCATGATGGGGTTGATGTACTTGAAAAAGGGGATAATCAAACAACGATTCTGTCTAGTCCTTCTACAGCGTCTGCAATACAAAGAAAGCCTTCAGATTCTGGTTACTTATAATTCCTCTTGCTTCTTTATCTGTGTCCATTTTAGTATTCTATAACCTTTTTCCTTTAGTTCCATTTCTCCCTTGAAAGCTCAGGCTTTGAATTTTAGCTTGCCTCACTGCAGTGCGGCATGTAAGACTTCACAGTTTGAATTCCTGCTTATGTCCAGGCATATCAGTCTGCATCTTGATCTGCTTTAGTTCATCATCTCCCATGCATGCTGAGTTTCTGCTGGGAAAAAAAGTCTTTCTGCCTGTAGTTAAGGTGTTCAAGTAAGGACTCCTGTATCTTAAGACGGATTTGAGGGTTGACAGCATTTGACAGGATTCCTGTCTTTTTGGTCCAGGGACATAACTCACCTGTCCATCCTTCTCCCTTCACCAGATGTGCAAGAAATACTTGTGAAGAGGCAGGGTCAGGGAAGAATTTATTTTAATCCAAAGAGCAGATTTAGTTTTCTACTGAAAAATGGGAAAACATTACATATATTTCCTTAGATGCTATGTAACCTTTTAGGATGTCGAGAGGAAAGATTATTTACATATTAAAAGTACATGAAGGAAAATGAGGCACAAAAATTACCTATCTTGGTCTTTGAAGTTAAGACTTGGTTGCATTTAGTGGCATATAGGATAGATTACAAAAAGTTGTCCCACTCCCACCAGTAGCAACATCCCACAGCCTGTATAAACACATTCTGTTTTGTACTAACTCTCAGTTTTCCACAAGTTGCATTAGCAAGATAAGCTGCCTTTCCAGACAGGCATTTTGGCTCAATGTGTATCGGCAGTGTTGCAGTACTGCATTTTTAGGCAAACCACCAGTGATGATAAGCCTCAAAGATGCATTGCCTGAGAAAGCTCCCCCAAGCTGGTCACTGGGAGATTTGAGTAAATTGGAGTAAATACAGCACGACCATACTGCGCACACCATATCCAGGGGTTTTCAGGCTGGGGCAGCCTCATCCACTAAGCAACTATTGTGTGGTGCAATAGAGCATGCACGAACCAGCTCAGACTTGAAACTACCTTCTACATGTATTTGCAATATTTGCTACACTGAACTACAGCTTTTTTTTCCCTCTCTTTGAGAAACCTTCTTCTGTGGGGAAAAAGTCTTGGAGGCACACAGTCCTGCTTTCCAGGGCACGCACTAGTAAGCTGATGTATTTTAAGGCGGAGATCATCTGTTTTTATGGGCTTGTCTCTTTCTGTAGTCTCTAGGAGAATGGTGTAAGCAGTAGCTGATTATGTAAAGCAAGGCAGTTTGTTCTGACATGTCTTGCTTGGGGCCCATCAGGGAAGGTGCCCCCTGTGGGGTGGTCTCTGGTGGGACAACACCAAGCCTAAGGCTCTGCTCTGAGACCAGACTGTGCTCAAAACACAAACACACAGATCTAGAAAACACCACTAAAGCCCTCGGATGTAAGTACAAACTTGTTTTAGGAACCAGAAAAATCTTGGCCACATGATTTCTTTTGGGGGAATTTGGCTGTTGCATTGCAATTATACATAAGTCATCTTCATAAGTCTTTCTTAGTTCAGGATATTCTCAAAGACATGGAAGAACTTTCTAGAGGTTAATTGTTTTCTTCCACCAAATCTGTTCAAATTTGTAGTTTAAACACCAACTATTAGTTACCAGTGCTGTAGGACATTGTTTTTTACTGTATGCTGTAAAACCAATGCAATAAACATGAGCATGCTAATCACTTTTACGACGTTTATCAAATCTCTCCAGTAAAGCCTTCCATATGTTGCCTGGGATTGTTTGGTGCTTGGTTATGAGAGCCTGGACAGCAGTCTTTGTCTGAAAACAGAAGAGAAATTTGCCTTTAAAGACCTATTTTATACATGGAAGAAAAGTATTTTCACTAACTTCTCAGAGGTTCAAGATGGAAAATTCACACATAATTCTACTGTAAGAAAATAATTGTTTTATATTAACTAGCTGTCCTAATGACACATCTGTTGGAAAAGAAAGGAACAAAAACAATGACTGCACTTTGGGTAGGCTGAAATTATTGAGATTTATCAAATGTGGTCATCATTTAGTCAAAGTAGCTTTTAACACATTCAAACATTGAGTTTCTGCAATCTCCCATCCCTGAAAATTTTCATCAAAAAAGGATGGATAAAGCATGACCCACCTCCTCTGATCTTATAGCTGACCTATCTTGGACTAGGAATTTGGAGTAGGAACCTTTGTCTGTCCTTCCCAACATGAATTCTCCCATAATTTTATCATATACAGCATGCACATAATAAGAAAATTCATTATACTCTTTACATGGGATTCAAATGAAAGTTTAGGAACAAAATGAATACAATATTCTATATTTCTAAAAGAAATAAGAAGTTATCTTCTTTTGTTTTCCCTTGTGTGTTGAAACTTGAACTAAGCGTAGCTACATACTCCACTGATCTACCCCAGAGTTATAGTAGAATATCACTGTGAATATAAAAAAAGAGTAGCCAAACCTTTCCTGACAGATTCATGTCCTAACTCCTTTGCAGGACAGGAGCAGAGAGAGGTCAGCTAGGCCACTGCTCACCTCAAACTTCATTTGTATTACATTTTTTCTAAAGTAATATCAGCCACAGAAGACCTAACTGTACTCCCACCAGGGTGAATGGTGGTCAGAGGGGGCAGCCAAAGGCTTGCCTTAGGCAGAAAAATCAATATCATGGGAAATTTCAATTTCACCTTTGCAGGCACACAAAATACTGTTGCCCTAAAATACATGAATAACCATAAGGGCAGTCATATTGCTTCCAGCCTCCTAAAGGTGCTAAGAGCAAACTCTCCAGCTTGCTGGGGCTGTTCCCTTGTGACAGACCAAACCTGTCTTTCTGGTTTTACTTTTGTGAAGCCAAGCACAACCTGCAATAGACCCTTAAAAAAGGAAAAAGGAAAACAAAAGAAGAAAAACTAGCCTTCCTGCATCTTTTTGGGTGCAGTGAGATGTTTTTTAATAAGTGATTTCTGACAGTTGATTTTTTCATGGATTTCTAGCTTGTAGCAGATTTTTTTTTCTCATAAAATCCTCCTTTATCTTCCATGAAAAATTTGAAAGCTGTATTTTCAGTTTAGCTTTATATTTTGAAAAATGCTTAAACTCTTGATCTATAAACACTTTTATGCCTTGGGCACCACTAATTTCACCAAACTATAGGTACTCAAAATATTTTTATATTTTGGATGCAACTTTTTAACATTTTTATTTTGACAATGAGACTGAAGCTCTTGAAAAACTTTGCTTCTAGAGCCGTATGCTATTTGGTGAAAATTCTCAAAGTTATTTGTTATTTATTAAATTTATTTTCATAATTACTGAAAACTGCATTTAAAACATAATTTACATCATTTCAGTTATCATACTTATTATCAAAGTCCTCAAAGGCATGGGAGAAACAAAGTTAACAAAACAGGAAGACAGAGCTCATACATTTGGAAAGGATGAGGGCATCCCAATCAACTGTGACTACGTCAATATTTATTGGTAGATATTTTTACCTTAAATGATCCCAAACCTCAACTGCCCATAGGTGAACAAGCTAGTAAAAGTGCATTTGTCTTTATTCAAGCATGCAAAAAACTGGGTTCCAGTGCACCTATACTAGAGGGCAAAGTATGTAGTTCAGTTTTGCAAGGAGAGAGAACTTACCTTTTCAACTAATTCCTCTGCAGTTATATTGGGATCGTAAGGGATTGGCTTCCCAATGTATGTGCGAAATTTAACTGGAAGTCCTCCGTATGGAGGGGTAAAAGGCAATCGAGTGCTTTCATATAACTTTCTAAAAAATCCTGAAATGGTTTATGGGAGGAAAAAGTGAGATTATAGTCACAGTAAACACAATCCAAACATGAAATCCAATTAATGTAGAATACTTCTTAAAAATGCATGCTTTATTTGACAGTCAGGAAGTTGTTACAGGATTGAAGCAATTGTCCACGAAAACAAAGCTTGAAAGACTTAATAGGCCAGAGAAATAAGACAAATAGACCAGAGAAATAAGACAAATCACATACACAGTGCAGTTATGCACGAGCTATTTCCAAATTTGAGCTACCTCTCACCCACAGCAAGTGTTAGAGAATCCAAAGTGAAAGTCTGAAAAGCAAAATCTAAGATAAAACCAAGAGAAATCTGAGATAAAAGAGATAAAATATTCCAAACATATAAAATATACTTTTAAGTTCTTACTTCTTTCTTTGAACATCCTATAGCCTTCACGGACATTTTGCGTATACATTGGAATGATGGGCTAAGGAAGTCGAAAAAAAATTAAAAGGTGGAAATGTTATACCAGGTTTGAATTTCTGCTTTAGTGCTTGTTAATGCAGCTAAGAAAATCATGCAGATATAGAGGGTAATTACCAGTTAATTAAGTAGTAAACAAAGAATATTGATTTTTAAAACTCCAGAATAGAAATAAAATGCTATTTTTCAGCTGCCATAAACACCTGTTTTAAAGTCACTATCTGTAAATAAAATGACTGACACTGTACTAGGTTTCATATAACTTTTATGTTATATATTTACTGCAATATCACTGACTGGAACACAAAACAAATTTCCATTGTTTCTCTGTCTAAAGCTTTCATTGTGAGTGGTGAATAGGAAAGTATTCAGTTTGTGAAGTCTTGCAGAAAGCAAGCAGACATTCACGGTTGGCTCAGCTCATCTGCTTTTCAAATAGGGTCTAACTGAAGTAGTAATGTTTGGATAAAACTTCACTGGAAAAGACTTCTGCAGATCCCTGAGACAAAAAAAGGCAATTGTGTGTCCTCACTGACCTGGACTACAGGTCAGTGAGGGGGATCCTTAGGCACTTACAGGACAAGTTCACTTCATATTTGTGACTGAAAAGAGACACGCTTGAGATACCTGCACTTGAAACAATCATGCCTTACAGCCTGAGGTAAGATTTCGTAGTTTGTAGACAGACTGACAGTAGTTGTATCCATATATGCAAAGACTTTTTTCTCCTCTATTGTCCCTTTTCCTTTTTCTGAAACTCTAATTTGAACAGATTGTGGAACAACTTGTCCAGAAGGTAATGAAAGAAGACTTTTGTACTGTTAAGAATCACTACCACAGAACAGAAGATGCAGGATGAGGAAAAAAACAAGCAGGAAAAAGACCTAACTAGAGCCTACCAAATAACCCATAGTGATAGAAAGCATTAAAAGGAAAAAATACTTGAGGGAGAACAAAAATATTAAACATGCATAAAGCTGTAATAGCAAACTTTTCAGAATGCAAAATTAAGGGAAATTGTTAGAAATAAACCCTTAAAAATAATCAGTAATGTCTTTTAAAAATATACGCGTACTGGATACTAAAAATACCAAACTTTGTTTCAGCTATTAATTGAATACTGTACATCTAAGATGTAAAATGTTTGAAACCTATCTGTCACACAGACAAAACGCTTTAAATTTTAGGAGTAGTACAAGAGAAACATATGGAAGGCTATAAAGAAATCTGACAACTACAGAAGTTACTCTTATACAATGAGCAGCAATTGATGTGCAGGGTAGGCAGCAACATTCAGTCCCTAAGCTGGAAAACACAGGTATGCACATAAAATCTGACATTTGTAAAACAGCACAACCAGATCTTCATACACATTTATACTTACTGTGCTGGAACTGAGCTGGATCATCCCCAGCCAGCTTGAAAATCACAGAATTACAAGATAGTTGAGGTTGGAAGAGACCTCTGGAGATCATGTAATCCAAACCTCTTGCCCATACCAGAGAATTTTATAAATCATAGTTCCTGTTTATATTTTACCTAGCTCAGCTTGAAGGAATTTTTTGGCACAGGTAAAATTGAGGGATCTTCAGAAATTATGATCTCTCCCTATTAGCCTGAAAAAACCAAGCCATAGACAGAGAGTATTTCTAAAAGTCATGGATGAATTTGACTGAGACAGATACATGTCCTAAAGGTACACTGAGTCATAACATTAAATAGTAACACTCTGACTCCTGTTAAGCAGAGTAGTTACACAAAATGAAGTGGAAATCAAATGCAGAAACTTTACAGGTAAGGACTGAGGCTGAAACTACCTTCCTTATTTGCTTTTCTTCAACTTTTTCAGTGGAAGAACTATTGAACTTCTGTAATATTAGATGATGGATGGGAATGTCTATTCATATATAAAGTAGGTTTTGTCTTGAAATCCCCATTCAAGTAATCTGTGACAGGTTATTAACCACCATGTAGTCATTTTGATAAAGTGTGTGTAGTACTTTGATTGAGGGCTACACTGTATATAGAAAAACTTTTAATATCCCTTATAATTGTATCTTGTTTCATTCATGATATCTGAGTAACTATTAGCAAATTTATATTAATTGTTACATAATAGAACAAGTTCTGATACCTGGATGAGTCTATCCCCAGTGTATTTAGGGTTTTTGGCCAGATTTTGGTAGAGGGGGAGCTGCAGGGGTGGCTTCTGTGAGAAGCTGCCAGAAGCTTTCCCCATGTCTGGCAGAGCAAATGCCAGCTGGCTGCAGGATGGAAGAGCTGCATGCCAAGGCCAAGCCCATCAGGAATGATCATAACACCTCTGTGATAACATATTGAAGAAGGAAAAAACTGTTGTGCATATGTAATTGTGGACAGAGAAGAACAGGGTGAGAAAATGTGAGAGGAACAGCCCTGCAGACACCAAGGTCAGTGCAGAAGGAGAGGAAGGAGGTGCTCCAGAGCAGAGATTCCCCTGCAGCCCATGGAAGACCACAGCAATGCAGAGATTCACCTGCAGCCCATGGAGGAGGCCCACACCTGAGCATGGATGTCTGAAAGAGGGCTGTGTAGGTGCAGGAAAGCAGTGCTGGAGCAGGCTCCTGGCAGTGGTCTGCAGACCCATGGAGAAAGAGGCCCATGCTGGAGCAGGTTTCCTGCAAGGACTTGTGACCCTACAGGGGACCCTCGCTGGAGCAAGCTGTGCCTGAAGGACTGCACCCTGTGAAAGAGTAACTCACATGTTCATGGAGAGCCTGTTGCCCAGGGGATGGACTGAGTTTGAAGTTTGTCTCCTGTGGTATGGATCCCATGCTAGAACAGGAGAACACTTCTCTCTGAGCAGTGACAGAAACAACAAACTGGCCATGACTCCCATTCCCCATCTGCCTGTGCCACTGCAGGGAAGGAGGAAGAAGGGAGCCAAGGAAGCTCAAGGAAGCTTTCCTCAGCCAAGGAAGAAGGGAGAGGTGGGAAGAGGTGTTTTTAAGGCTTTTACTTTACTTCTCATTGTCTTGCTCTGATTTTGTAGCTAATAATTGCAATTAATTAAGTTGAGTCTGGTTTGCTCATAATGGTATTCGGTGAGTGATTTCTCCCAGTCTTTATCTCAGCTCATTAATCTTTTGCTTTATTTTCTCTACCCTGTCCACTTGTGGAGGACAGTGATAGAGAGGCTTTGATGGGTGCCTGGCATCCACTACACCTCAGTCTTTGGTCAACCAGGAAGACCGTCTGGTCAGTATTGAAAAGGATGCAGCAAGAACAAATAACCATACTTGAAATGTGTCAAAAGATGGGATCCAGTGACTACTGTGGACCTAACTTTATATAAGTGATATATAAGGTTAATATTGTCCCCTCTACTGTTAAATGCACATCAGTTCCCTTTTTTTCTTTAGGTGTTTAATTATATAAGATTTGTCTGATTCCAGATTTCCAGAGAAAAATCAATGATGCCCAAAAGTTCAGTGAAGCTTGCACGCTAATTACAGAAATGTCCACCATGCAGGGATCTAATCAGACTTCCTGATCATAAAAAACCACAAATCTGAATGAGGGTGATAAAAAGAGCTATAAGAACTGCCAGCACTGTAAAGGTAAGCCCAGGCTAGTAGCTGTCAAAGGATAATATACTCTCTCTGCCCTCCTGGTAACAGTCCTACATAGTGCCTGTTTTACTAAACATTACTCAGAGGGCCACCTTTCACACTACAAGAGCCTTACCCTCAAAGAATACCCTATTCAATAAATACAATTTTAAAAACCTCCATCAAAAACCGAACACAAATTCTGTCAAGAAAAGCAGGTAACAATGTTATGTATTACTATTCAGTTATTTCCACATGCTTCTATTTTATGGAAGACTAGTAGAATTAGGAGAATTAATGGCAAGGATTCTTGTGATGTGTTTTGATCAGGGGACTCAAAGTTTTTAACTCAATTTCTATTTAAAAGTCCACAACCTGTTACATTGCATTACTGTAAGGTTCCAGGTGAAGGGAAAACATCTGATGAAAGTTTGTCCAGATGTTTGAAGTAGCTTGAACTACAGAGATGAAATCAAAATCAATAGAAATCTCTCAAGTTTTTAAAATGATAATTCTAACTGTCTCAGCATATTATTCATTTAATACATAAGAAAGTATTAAATTCAATAGGAAACTCAAGATGCCCAGATGAATTTGACTGAGTTTATCCCATTGACATTTGGATACTTTCCCTGTAGTGGTGGTGCACAGGCCCACACAGTATATGAAATATTATTACTAATATTTACCCTTTTGAAAAAAAGGGATAGGAAAGGGAACGGAAGAGCCTAAAACCTGACTTTTAAAAGGTCACATAAGACAAGATGTGGAAACAGGATTCCAGGCCTAAAATTATTTTATCCATTGGGTAAATGCCCCTAATTTTATTCTAGTGTTTAATTATATCCCCACAATAATTTATATATAGAGTTATGAAGAAATATTAATCTGAAGCATGCATTTTGCACCTTCAGATTCTTTGTAATAGGAGCCACAGCACAAGAGACCAAAACAAAGTTTGAGAAGCAACAAATCAGATGAGGTGCAAAAGTGATATAACTGCACAAAAAGGGATGTTAAGAAATTAAAGTTTAATGGGAAGAACTCACCTCCTGGTACAGCTTCTCCTATACAGACAGAAAACTTTGTGAGGAAGATCAAAGAGCACTGCAAGTGATGAGATATTCATAAGAATGTGAGGAAAAAGTGATGGTTGTGCAGTTCATGAGAAAGCAGCAGAAAGTGCATGGCAGAACAGATCAAGCCTGGATTTGCACCAGTACTGTCAGACACAGAAATCACTAGGTATGCTAAGTCTTAATTAAGGCAGAAAACTTGTGTCTCAAGGTGGTGATGATGATGATGAGGAGTGGCAGTTAGGAAAAAGACAGGGTTGATGCTCTTTCAGCTGCATGCCATCCCAAATAAAATAATTTCCCAGAGACTGTATCAGAAAAACACTCTCCCATGTAGATTTAGATACAAGAAGTCAGAGCGAGTGGTAAAAGGTTGTATTTGTAGATCATCATCCATATGGAAACTAACTGAAACCTTGGCCATGAGTACATCGGTGGAATGCAAATCAAGAGAAGTGCTCGTCTAGAGGATGCTGAGAATCTGACATCCACACTGAACACATTTATTGCTTTGTTTTAATCTAGAACTAGTTCTTTTTTGGCACCATTGACTGGAGACCATTTGACACTGGAGAGTATTAGGTTCCAATTTTGGTTTAGTTTCAGCCAGAAGGAATGCAGCTCCAGTATTCTAACATGTTCCTTGATGTGAATGAAAGCATGGTGAGGGAAATGCACAAACTGCTTCAAAAATGCACACGATTCAAACTCAGATACTGATGTAGACACACCTTGGGTTAGTTGATGCAATTTTTCACAAACATGAAGAAAAGTAAAGGTAAGGACTAAATCCTAGACACTCACAGAATAAATGAGAAGATTAGGATAATAGATTAAAGAACCACAAGGAAATGACTGAATATGTGGAAGTAAGATAAACATGTAAGTCTTTTGGGATAAGAAAAAAGAATGAAACCTTTGGGCAGTATGGAGAAGGACCACAGTGAAGATTCCTGAAATACAATTAAGATGAAACACTGGATGCCTGCATGATGGAACTGTAGACATGAGACCACAAAGAGGGATGCTTTGAAACAGTCAAGAAAAATTTTGACAGTTCCACAAAATTCTTGCTCCTTGTGAATGAATATGCTCAAGGAAAGCAATGGGAAAAGGAAATGAAGTGTTTACTTTCCAATAATTTCTTCTGTAAGATTTTCCAATAAATGCTCCTGAGCTGTATTTTATAATGAAGCAGATATGCAGAAAGTACAAAATGGGATTGGTAACATATGGCACTCACCACTTTTGCTTCTAGAGCGACCTGAGCAAAGCCTTTTCGATTTCCCCACATGAGCTGATAACTTTCATCACTGAACAGAGCTTCTCGAACTCCACCTGGTGAGATGGACACCAAGTATCCATTCTTCAGGGCAGCAAGACACTCCTCCCTCGTACCTGGTATGACACCCGTCACTCCCAACAATAATCTAAGTCCTGAAATAAATAAGGAGCAAATGTGCATTTAATATAACAATATATATCCCAAATGCTGTTTGCATGGAGGAGCCAGATTACAGCTAAATTAAAATATAGTAGCTATATATTTAGGCTAAGACAAATTTTTATGAAGGAAGTAAGACACCTGCAGAGTAAATGCTGGCAAAATGACAGATGGGTGACAGTATTTTTGGCCAAATATTATGAAGATGAACCATATTGTCAGGAACACTTCAATTAAAAAATGCTTCCACACACTACCTTTCACAATGATCAATCAAATTGTGGGTCATAGCTAGAAATCAGAAAATAAGCATCTATTCCTCTCTCCTTTTTACATATTTTCATACAGCAAAAAGAATCAGTACAATAAAGATTGGTACAAAAATAAATACCTGACAAACATCTTTTTTTGGTATTCTTTTAGAATGTGACATTTAACATTTTAAACATTGAGGCTTTGAGTTGTTTAACTGAGTATTTTGTGGTTAAATTGCAAACTATGTGGATCAAATTAAACTGCTGTAAGACTGCATGAATGACAGAAACTAGCAGAGCAATTTCAGCACCACTTGAATGAATTCACCACAGTGAATCTCCTTCCTCTGTTTCCATAGCTGGGATTTCTCTAAAGGACAGATTGAGAACCATAGAAGTACTCTATGATTTCTAATATTATCTTCATATTTTAAATATATCACTTTGGAACTCTAATAGAAAGCAAACAAGCATTTCAGTCTTCAAATTCCCTGTTCAAAGAGCATAGTTTGAAAATATGTTTTTTATATTAATAAATGGAAGCAACAGCTCTGGACTGACAGAGGTCTGCAACAAAAACTTTGGAAGACAATAGATAACAGTGCTGAATCCTGTAATTTAATTGTATTTAATCTTGTTCAAGTTATCATGCTTAATAGATCTTTCTGTCAAAGACAGATGATGACTTTGTCTAATTCTTTTGTGAACTCATGTCTGTTTCATCCTAAAGTCAGGAATGCCATACTGTAATTAAGCAAAGAGGTTCTTCATTTGCTTGGCTTTAAAACTTTTGAGAATTATAATGTATCACATGAAAATATTATCACTTCTTATTCCTCTTTTCTAGGTCTCACAGAATTTTTTATCCCTCAGCCACACAAGGCTTCTGTCTGATGTCCTACCTCTTCCAAGGAAGCCATGCCACGCCTCTGAATCATCCTTATCTTTTCTTTGTAACTTTATTACTCAGAAGTTATTCTGATATGGAGACACTTATTAATTCACAAGAAGAAATCTCCTGTAACTGTAATTAATCCTGAAAATAAACTGAACTGAGATCCAGCATAGGCTCATGAGCATTTTATTAAAGAACCAATCTGTGAATTGTAACACTTATTTGCAAAAAGTAAGCAGAGTAGAGCAAAAGAAGGTTAGGGAGGAATTTCGCTTATAGGCACATCTTCTGCTAATGCAGTGGGAAGGTCTAACTTCAATTATTTGTAGCCTTTTTGAAGAGTGACACAGCATTTGCCACCTTTTGTTGCTCTACCATGAACATAATGAAATCAATATGTTATGTACACACCAGTAGTCCAGGAACTGCACAGCTGAGAGTGTTGCTTAGTCACAACAAATGTGTATTTTATATTTGTAATAAAAATCTGTGCTAGAGACACTTCAATTTGAACAGTGCCCTCTTATTTATCCCTTAAGAAAGGAGTCTCCTTTGCAATGTTTTGCTAAAGTTTCTCTTTTTTTGAGGGTACTCTTCAAAGCCAGTCATCTTTTGATTACTTCATACTTCCAATGTGTTCAGTACTATACAGTATTTATGAAGTAGGACTTAAGAAAATTATTGTTATCTGTCTAGGAGTGCCTGAATATGGTTTTAGCACCAAATTTACTTGAGTTTATAATACTTATTTTCAGGAAAACTTTCTCCTTCTAAATAGCTTCCTCTATTTTAAAACAGCTTTCAATATTAGTGGCATAAAGGTGCCTTTAAATAATTCCCCTGCTATTCCTCCTGGACACTTATCTTTATGCCTTGTTTTTCTAAAGTTGAATTCTCTCTGCTTCTCTGTATCTTCTCCTGACAGGTCAGCACTAGGTCAATAGTAGAGTCCTATCCACCACTTTCTACTGAGGGATGATATTCCATCCCAAAAGGACTATAATGTCTATTTGTTGGTTTGGAGGGTTACCAATGTTTTCACTGAAAAGACAGGATATGCTGCTCTGTTTGTCCTGTTACATCTACCAACTTTTAGTTTAAAAATCTAAACACAGTCTTTTAGTTTAAAAGCTCTCTTTCAAGTACAGTAAATGTAAAGTTCACCAAAACCAGGACAGGTTTTGAATCCAAGAAGCTTAAATATAAGAGAACAGGTTCTTACCTGGTAAACGAAACACAAAATGATCAGCTACTGACAGGCAAAGTCTTTCCTTCCACAGAAACAGTCGGGACAAAAAGTAAAGGTAGTCTATAGGAATAGCTCCATGGTAATACACAAGAATGCCTGGTCCTTCTGGGAGGTTTTTCACACCATGAAGCTCATAACCTGTTTGGGATGGAAAGCAATACACTGACAATGATATCTGCAAATCATCTGGCAGTTTAGAGAAATTTTTTACTTGGTTAAGTGACCTTCAGAGACTTGTGAAACCCTCTGTAGTAGCTTTCAAAATAATTAAGTTCTGAATGGATGTTTTGGTCAATACCACAGAGAAAGTCCCTCAGGCACCACAGCATATCACTAGATTGATTTGTTGGTCAGTTTAATCATGAAATCAGACTTGAACCTGACATTTTTCCCAGTGAAGGAACTAAAATAATTATTTCCCATTAGGAAATTGTTGTAAATAGTACAATAATAATACCTTTAAAAAATAGTAACTAGTGTGTGAAAATGCTTCATTTTCAGAAATATTGGGCAACAGACTGGATACTTTCCTGCAATATGGAAGTATGAATCTCCATTCGGTGTCAATGAGAATGAAGAGTTTGGTATTTTCCATAATAAAGTGTTTCTCTTTTAGAGAAGGTGAGATGCTTAAATTGAAACCATAATCTTTAAGAATCCCAAAGAGAGGTTCTGTCAACAAGAGTTAAATATATTCACTTCACAGTGGGAGGGAATTTCCTCACAGACATGCTCTTCTATGAATCCTTGTCATGACTCTTCCTACATTTGGTTTAGGTTTCAGGTGGAGCCAGACTAGAAGGCTAATGTATACAAAGGCTTGGGAAAGACACAGCTTTTGCCAGCTAAGAGCTCTGTTCCACCTTGTCTGCCTTCATTTCCATCCCTGCTACAGCTCCTGCCATGAGCCATTTGGATGGCATTGGAGTAGGCAGAGTCCTAGGAGCATGTGGAGAAAGTTTTATACTGCAGGTTGTTTAAAGAAGCCATACAAAGTATAATAAACATAACTTGTTTGCATCCATATGGAAGAAAAAAATTAAAACTCCTGTGTATTTACCACTTACTGTAATTCAATACTTCAGACAAGTCAGGTTGTACTTACCATGCCATATTCTTGCATATATATCCCAAAAGCTTGCTATAGTTTTTCTTACACTATTCCAAACATCACTCAAGGGATCTGCTTTTAACTCATTGTTCCTCTGATATATTAAAAGCAAAATATTGGTAAGGTAAATGAAAAGGACTATTGTTAAAGGAACTATAAAAAAAACTAATATTGCACTAATTGTCAGTGAGGCAATGATCAGATGAAAAAGGTATTTCTTCAGGAGCTCCACAACAGTCCATTCTTCCAGTGCATAGAAAAGGCAGCTGAGGCTGGTCATTGGTAACTGTCCTGAAGCACAGGATTCTTTGCTACCTATCATGTCCTGCACAAAGAAAAAAGAAAAGGGAAAAAAAAAAACAGCTGTAGTTTCTCAATTTAGGAAAAAAGGTTTCTGTAAATACACCTGATCTGTATTTTGGTACAACACAGGTTCAAACATTTTGTGTCTCTCTATCATGCTAAGATAGCTGCTGATTAGGAGATTGTCCATGTATTTATGAAATAGGGGCTGAAATAAGAAGGACTGGAGTTCAACAAAGCCTCAGGAACCCTGCAGCATGGCTGACCAGATGATTTCTCTCAAAAGAGTAAGTGGATAATATTTCTAGCAGGGGAGTGAGCAGCTGAAGGAACAGCAGCAAAACCAGGGCAGTCATGGCTTCTTTGCAAGGCCTGGAAGTGTCTGGGACAACACTTGGTACTGCTGTTAACACTGGGACAAGCAGCCTCATCCATACAACACACCTTTCTTTCAGATCTTTCAGCCCTGGCAAAGGCAAGGAGAGCTCCTTGATATGTTTTCCACATGCAACTCCCTAGTTAGTCCATTCCCTGCCTGCCTGACAGTAGATAGTGGTTACACCGGAATGCGAGAGCACTCCAGCGTTGCTGGCTGCTTTAAAGAGTCTTGAGCATTAGCCAGAGATTTAAACATTGCAATCCAGCTCAGTAATCCATAACTGAATACAGATTTTCTTTGCCTCAATTAGGTTGCTTCTTGTTTAACGTGTAGATTTTTCCACTCCACCACCAGAACAAGTACCTACAAGAAACAAATCGTAAGTGCCAAAGTCAGTGCCAGGATCAGAAAATACAGCAAGCTCAGACCTCTCTGACTTTGCATCTTCAGCTGTGTACTTATATGAGTGTACTGCTGTACACTTCTGTTTTCCTTCTTTGAAACTTTGGATAGAATATAGGGGTGGACTGGCATAAAGCACAGCTCCCTTCAGAATTACGGATGACCAAGAGTGCAGCAAACAACAAAAGTGGAAAGCAGCCATGGACAAGCACTAGAGCCTAACATGCGTCAAGGCAAGCAAGCCCTGTAGCACGAGTAGCTGCAGTAGCTATAAATTTGGTCTCACACACCCCAGTGAAATCTGTCCTTATCTCAAACCCTTTGAACTCCACACTGGCCACCAAAAAGGACCACTTGGTTTAACCCCAGTAGGCAGCTGAGCACCACATAGACTCTCACTCATTCCTCACTGCAGTGAGATGGGTGAGAGAATCAGAGGATTTAGAGTGCAAAAACTCTTGGTTTGAGATAAAGGCAGCTTCATAGCTAGAGCACAAGCTGGAAAGTTAGTAAACAAAAAGGAAGCAAGCATTGTGTTAAAAGATGTTCAGTGTGGTAAAAAACAAATAAAATCAGTATGACAAAAATTAACAAGAATTAATATAGAATTCTTTATATCCTGATGACTGGTACCTCACTAAGATATAGGAAGATCTGGACATTTTCACTGAAAAGAGATTTTATCAATAACATGAAAGAAAAAAGGAATAGTCTGCATGATTCAGATATTAAAATATCTGTTTAGACAGTGTTTAAGAAGGATAAAACTGATGGTGTGGTGCCACGCTATAGTAAGTTATTGTTTATAAAGTTCTGATAAGAGCAGGGACTACAAATCCTCAGTGTGTGCAAAGGTCTGTGCTGACAGAGCCCAGGAGAAGGCCATGTTAAGAGGGCTTGCCTCTGGCTACTAAATCAGAAATACTGAGCAGTGCTTGGAATAATTTGTTCAGCCTGCAACATAGGGTGAAGGAAGTGAGTGGATTTTGTATTGTTATTGGGGAGTCAGATCTGGAACACAGACTACTACAGCCAGCAGCAAAAGTATCTTAAAATCACAGATAAAATTTCCATATCCACAGCAAGTGCATCAATAATGACCTCGATATGATACGGGGATTAATTTGGATATACAGATCACTGATGGACAAGAGATTGTATAATCTACCAACAAGATTTAAGATGATTCTAAAGCTCACAAGCACGAGTAACTGCAGACTCAACAGCCAGATAAACTCCTGGCAAGATAACTGAGAAGCTGGTAACTGATGCCACTCATTCTAATTTCGTGGGAAACAGATATTGTACACAAATTCCCTTCCATTCTTTGAAGAAATTTGAGGTTTAATAGCTTGTACAGGTTTCATGCACATATAGTTTTAACGGGAGCTTCTTAAAGAGTCACCTTAAGCCACTACTTGAAAGTCATCCTTCCACCAGTGATTCACTCTATGTTCTTATCCCCAGCCTAATCTCTGATAGGATCTTCTGGCTCCCTGCTAAAGAGATGCCAGTGAAAATGCTGGTGCCAGCAAAATCACTCTTGGGAACAGCCCAAACTTAAGTTGGTATATGCATGTATATTACCAATGCCACTTGACATTCTTATTAAAAAATAAATCTATTTGAAATAGAGCATATTTGCAATGAATGATGTCATCAACTAGCATGACAACAAAGGATCCATCAGTGGTGGAATCTCTACCAAATAAGAACTAAATCTATGTTCTACATTATTCAGCATTTTCAGAATTTTCTTCTAATATTAATAGGATGTTTACATTGATCAGTTTTAACAGTGTAACATTCCACTGATTCCTGTTCCTTCAACTCAATTTTTATGTAGCAGAAAATTACTTGCTGGCTGGAAAACCACTACCCTTAACTTTGATAGCTGACAGACTACAGTATAAATGAACATCTTACTAATTTTTGATTTTAAGTTCAATATAGACACTGGAAAAATGCTTTAGAAAGAAAATAAAATGCACTGATGTGCAAAATCATATTTTTTAAAAACCTACAAAACAGATTCAACAGTACATATTTGACCAAAGATATCTGAAAGTAGTTGTGTAGATACAGAGTGAGTTCACCTTCTGCCAATTAGCTGGATGGGTGGGATGCAAGTTAATTCAACATCATTCCAGCTGAATCCAAGGATAGAAAAAGAATAAATGATTGACTGATTGAGGAAAAAATTGGGTACTCAACCGTGGTTTAGTTACTGCTCTCACAGTTCAATTGCAGACTTCCTCCAATATTTATTAAGAAAAGAATGAATTCCAGTCACTGAAACCTGGACCCTGATATTTGGGCTATATGATGCAAGTCCAACATGGCAAATGAATCCCTCTACTGTCAGTATATCAAAGGGCTACAACAGGACAGGACTTCTGTTTTAACATTTTCCACTGGCTATGTCTCACCTGTCCCCTGCTGAAACCCCAAATACAATTTTGAAGCATTCTTTCTATCAAACACTACATATGAAATTGTTACAACTACATGAGTGCCTACTGCAAGCCTGTTACTAACAACCTCCTTGATTATGTTCTAGGAGACAATGCAGGAGTGCTACCACAAAGTAAACACATTTACTTATAATGGCTTTGGTTTGCCCCAAATGTCAAATTTAAGAGAGAAATTTCTCTTCTGCTTTTATCAAACCTGAGCCAGGAGCAGCTCCAACATACTTCAATACTGAATATTCTCTAAAAGGTTAGCAAGTGGGTATAGTGACGTATTATTTAACAAAAAAACAAACTAACATTTTTTTTAAATTGTCTACATTTTTCTTATCTAGTGATGGACTTGAAGCTATTGTTCTGAGTGATTTCATTGTTCTTACAGAGAACAACATGTGTGTTGACATGTGAGGTATTTGTTTGGGCTCCACCTCTAAAGCTTATCAAATTCCAGAGTAATCACTGTATCTACAGTGTAAAATTACAGGTGATGTCAGAGAAAGACAGAACTACTGTCTCCCTACATAGAGAGGAGCTCGCCTTTCAACAAAAGTCTCCTGTAGTTCAAGTTGTTCAGATCCTAAGGTCTTGCTACAGCATTATTTGCTGATAAGAATAATCTTACCAACACTATAATCCCAGGGAAGAACAAAGCTGTCACAAGAGACTTACTACATTAAAATTAAAATCTTGTAGCTGGCTTTCAGTCATGACTGAAGTCATAATCTTCATCCTGCTGCTCACTAGTTTGCTCTTGGCAATAAGTTTAGTAGAGCATAGTGAGAAGATGCTTTACACAGAAGCAAGTGCAAGGTAACTGCAGACTCTTGGAGAGATAATTTTTTGACTCTTGCTTTCTGATGACAGGCTTCTACTCTTTGCTCAACCTCAATTGTTCTGTTTCATGAGCCGAGTCATCTAACAGCTACAATTCTGCCTCTTGCTTTTCAGTGTAAATGAAATTCCAGTTTTATATTTCCTGGACGTTTTGTGGCAGTTCCATGGCAAACAACTCTCTTACTGGTCACCCTGCCAGCACCCACTTTATTTATCTCCATAAATCCACCCATCTTGTATCCGCCTGTGTTTGTAGAGCTTCCCCCACCTTCAGCATATCCATCCCAAAAATGGTCTATCCCCTCCAGACAGAAACTGGCCATTACAGTGCCCAGGTTTTTGCAGCCATTCTATCTTTTTCACACACTGAGGATACAAAACCTAGAACACTGTTTCCGATCTACAGCCTCAGCAAACATGAATAACTGAATTCCCACTTGGGTTTGATTGAGCATGTGGGTATTAGGCACTACCCCTAGCTGAGCATCCTTGCTCAGCTTGGTTGCCGAAAATGTGGCAGGTAAGAGCCAGAAGAATAATAAAATAGAATGGTTTGGGTTGGAAGGGCCCTTAAAGAGCATCTGGTTCCAACCCCCCACCTGACATGGGCACTGACATCTTCTACTAGCCCAGGTTGCTCAAAGCCCAATTGAGCAAACCTCCAACATTGCCAATGATGGGGCATCCACCACTGCTCTGAGCAGCCTGGTCCAGTGTCTCATCATTCTTATGGTAAATTTCTTACCGATATTTAATCTAAAGTGCCCTCTTTCAGTTCAAAGCCACTCCCTCTTGTCCTGCTGGTTACATGCCTGTGTAAAGAGTACTCTCCCGCACTCTTGTAGGTCCTTTTCACACACTAAAAGGCTGAAATGACATCTCCCTGAGGCTTTCTCTTCAGCAGCCAGAACAATCCCAATTCTCTCAGCCTGTCTTCGCAAGACAGTCCTCTGATCATCTCTGTGATCCTTCCCTATACCTGTTCCAACAGGCCCATGTCTTTACTACACTGAGAAGCCCAGAGCTGGATCAGCACTCCAGGTGATGGCTCACTCCTGGAGCAGGGTAGAGGGGCAGAATCACCTCCCTCACCCTGCTGGCCACACAGCTTGGGATCCAGCCAGGACACGGTTGGCTTTCCTGACCTGTGAGCACACATGGTCGGGTGTATGAAGAGGGTGTACAAGGAGCAGCATCTGTGTTCAGATCTGGTACCTGTCCTGCTCAGACACAAGTAAAATAGCGCAAGTGCCCAACACCTACATCTGTCCCTTTTCTTCACCTGGAAATGTCATTTAGCTTTTCTAAACATCAACACCGCGAAGACTCGAGGGTTTCCTCAATGCCTGGCGCTAAGGGCCCCTAAGAGCAGATGGCTGCAGAAGCACGGGAGCGCTGGAACGCGGCTGGACCTCCCCCCGCCGCCCTCCGTCCCGAGCCCTGCCCCGCTCACCTGCCCGCGGCGGCGGCGCCGAGCCGGACCCGGCGGAGCGGCCCCGTCCCGGGATAAGCGCAGCGCCGCCCCCGCAGCCGGGACGGGGAGGCGGAGCTGCGCCCGGCACACGCAGCAGGCTCCGCGCCCACATCTCCGTGCCATTCTTCAACAATAAAAATCCCGGGAGCCGTGCCTGGGCGCGTCGGGATGGAGGAGCCGCGTCCCATCGCAGGGGAGTGCGGGACGCGCAGAGCCTTCTGCTTGGGAGAAAGAAGGATCCCTAGGACGTGCTTCCAGTCAGTTCGGGTCTGCGATGATCAAGGAAACTTTCCGGCAGTGTCATTGAGAAAATGCACTGGTTTTGCAACGGAAATAACCTCTTTTAAGAGGTTAAGAGACTTGGGTGTCACACAGACTTGGGCTATAATTAAAACAGAACACAGACAGAACATGTTAGTATGGCTGAATTCAGCAGAGGGAACCTGAAATATAATAAGCACCTTTATGTTGTACTGTTGTTCACCCTCTTCCTTATATCACGGAGGTCTTATTTGGACTGATACAACAAATAGGTATCAGTTTTGAAATTCAGGAAATGGTTAATCCAACCTGCTTAAGGCAGGTGATTGAATTTCAAAGATTTGATTTGATGCAGAACAAGAAATTGGCTCCCATGAAGTAAAATGCAGGACTGCAATACATTGCTTCCCACACACATACAGTGCTGTAGCTGTGGTCCAGGGGAAGGGGACACACACCTGCAGGAAAAGCATCCACCACTGACACTTTTCTGTTGGATTCTGGTTTTTATGGCACAAGACAGATTTGTTCAGTAACACATTTTCTTGTGAGGGAATAAAAATCTCGATACTGCTTGCCTAGCATGAAGCAGCAAATCATTGGAAAAGTGGTTTTGCTAGTAGAGACTTTGATAGAATGCAGATAGAAACTATTTGAGAGGCAAAAGTACATTTAGATGATCAGTGCAGAGAGAAAAAATGTTGTACGTAACACTTATCATCACTTATCAACACTTATCAACACCAACTGTAGCTGAAATTATTTTGTTTTGTTCACATGTGTTTTGTTTCCTTTTTGTTTGCATGATCGTGTACTATCACCCAAAGAGTCTGGATGGAAATACAAGAACTAAAACTACTATTGAAGAACAGAACTTGAATGAAACAGCAACATGATAATATGGATATTGATAAATGCATTGGTATAAAAAGTACTGAACAGTATTGTGTGAAGAAAAAAAATAATTGCATTGCTACCTTTGCTTTTCCTTCTCTTTTTTTTTTTTTTCTTGAGAGTCATCTTGAAGAAAAAGTGGTATGAGGCTTTTTCAGAGTAGTTTTAGGAATCTCATATAGGCTTCTATCAGCAGATTTGCAAATTTCTAGTGGGAGGGAGATTTCTAGTGATAGACAAAACTACTCTGAGGATTTCATGTAATTACATGAAATCAAAATTTAAGTATTTGGATCCCAGAGTGAGGGAAATTATAATAAATAGATTCAAAATCAGCCTGGAATTTTTAGATGAAATAATAGTCAAAAATTTCTAGAACGTTTCCAAAATTCCTACAGATATCTGGCATACAATGTGTATTACCATTACTATAAAGATTCTGCAAGAAATGGAGCAAAAGGAACTGATTGGCATAATAAACTGTGTCATGTGAATCAGAAGCATATGTTAAACTTCAGCTAAAAATAAAAGTGGCAACCAAGGTGAGATAAATATAAAAAATTAATAGAGCTGAAAAAGTACTTTGCTCTAATTTTGAATTAAGGTAATGAGATGGAGAATTGGCAGATTGATCATAAAGACAAAGGAGGAGAAATAATAAAACGGGAATGAAAAATCAAGATTCAGACATGGTAAGAATAGAATCAGTTCATTTTCTCAATCTATGCAACAACAGGGTCAATCAGATTTCATTCCAGGCCCAGTAGTAAGTAAGGGGTTTCTAGTAGGTTTGTGGGCTTTAGAATACTATGTGACCAAGAATAGTAACACAAATACTTATATTTGAGAAATTAGGAATAATTAGGAGTCTCCTGTATTCTGCACTACCCAGTGTGTTCCAGACCAAAAAGTGTTAAGAAAACCAGAGTTCAAGATGTGGAAAAATGGTAAACTCGTTTCCTTTTCTAATTGTTAATGTTGCCAGGCAGTTCCTGCCAATGGCATGAAGCTATGGGAAGAGTAAATATAACCTTAGGGCTTATTTTTCAACCTTACAGGTAGGATTACTGAAGTGTTACAGCTAACATTGAAAGCGTGGCTGAAATCTCTGAAATATTTTATATAAGTCTATTTCTTCCTTGTTTACATAGATCAATTTAGATTGAAACAAGGACAGAAAATGGTCCAAAGAATGAGGCAGATGCATGTGGGTTTTTTAACATACCAAAATAAAATTTAAAATGGAGTATACCCGTTGCTGTTAAATAATTTTGGGAGTAAGAAGGAAAAAAGTAACTCAGTTAAAGGTCAGTCAAAGCACAGAATAAATGAGAGTTAATGGCAGTATAACTTTGGCACATTTTATATTCCAGTAAGTTTTCCAGCAAGAAAAACTGAAGATATGAATCTGTTTATAAGAGAAGTAATAGAGTGATATTTGAAAGTTGAAAATAAATAGGTTACAGAATTTGGCAGTCCCAGTCTGGTATAACTTGCATGACACTGCAGGTGAGTTGTGCTGGGAGCTGGATCCCCTTCACCAAGGATGATTCCAGTAGAACATGGAATGATTAATCTTGTTAGTAGCTGACCACAAGTGGTGTTCCCCAGGGCTCAGTCCTGGGGCCCGTTCTTTTTAATATCTTCACGGATGACCTGGAATGGGGACTGAGTGCACCTTCAGTCAGTTCACAGACAACACTGAGCTGGGCAGGAGTGCTGATCTGCTGGGTAGTTGGGAGGCTCTGTAGAAAGATCTGGACTGGCTGGATTGATGTGCCTAGGCCAATTTTATGAGGTTGGACAAAGCCGAGCGCTGGGTCCTGCCTTTGGGTCACAACAACCCCATTGCGGCTCTGCAGGCTGGGGCAGAGTGGCTGGAAATCTGCCCAGAGCTAAAGGACCTGGGAGTGCTGGTCAGCAGCTGAACATGAGCCAGTGTGTGCCAGGTGGCCAAGAAGGCCAATGCCATCCTGGCCTGCACCAATAGTGTGGCCAGCACCACCAGGACAGTGATTGTCCCCTGTACCCAGCACTGGTGAGGCCACACCTCGAGCCCTGTCATCCCTCTTCTCTACAGAAACAAGCAAGATGAGATGGTGTCATATTGCATAAGGCGAGGTTTAGATTGGATATTAGGAAAAACTTCTTCACTGAAAAGGTTTGTCAGGTATCAGAACAGGCTGTCTAGGGCAGTGGTGGAGTCACCATCCATGGAGCAATCCTGGAGGTATTTTTTTAAAAGACAAGTAAATGTGGTGCACAGGAACATGGTTCAGTGGTGGACTTGACAGTCTTGGGTTAATGCTTGGACTAGATCATAAAGGTCTTTTCTGCCCGAAATTATTGTGATTCTATGCTTAACATAAAATGACAACTTGTGCTTGGAGGCTATAAAATTTCTTACTAAAATAAACTAATTACTTGGTTCAAAAAATTTGCCTCAGTCTTGCCTCCTGTCTCTTAATACTTCCTTGAGCATATATGCCTATATATGAACCTAAACAGGTTTAGCAATTGCTACTAACCCCGCTCTGGAGCAATAGTGGTCTTTGTGGGTTCTTAGGATTGTATCCTATTTCAGGCAGTAATGTTGCAGAGTGATGGGAAGAGATGACTGTCTTGGAGTCTTGGAGGTCTCAATAAACTGAACTTGAATGCTTTTCTTTTTTTTTTTTTTAACATTGACATTCTAAACATATCAATCACTGATGCTAAAATGTGGGAATCAGGATAGTATAGTACCACAGATGTGGGATTATTTGCAGGCAGGTTTGGAAGCTTTAGAGGTGGCTGCAAATTTTTATCTTCTTGGAGAGATGTTTCACTGATGAGGAAGAAAATGAGCTTTTCCTTTAGATTCTGAAGGAAACATCCCCCACTAACATTCTTGGAAAGCTGTTACGTGGATGGAATTTGCTGACTGTAGATGGTGTAAGAAACTACATTGCTCACGCAGGAGTATTGAGACATTAAGTGTGGAAACTTGTTCTGGTTTTTCCTATGTAAAATCAGCAGAATCAAACCAAATTCTGCCAAAGCTCAACCTTATCCTGTGCTTGCAAATATCACTGCTGTCCTGGAGGGAAAAAAAAGTCACTTCGCATTAAAATTTAGTGGTCTAAAAACTAACTCAGTTCATTTGCCTTGAAGCAGAAGATGATAATTTGAGGAGCAGCACTGAGTATTTACTCCTAGCTCCAGGAAGAACTCCTTCATCCAGTATCTGTGTAAGCCATCTCTCTTACACATGCAAGATCATGACAGCCAAGGCTACTTTGCTGCACAAGTCTCCCCATTTCTTTTTCATAGCCTCAATTCCATTCTTCTCTTCTACAGCTGTCAGTGTGGGCCAGCTGGCTCTAGATTCAGCATCTAACTACTGGCAGGGACAGTGGTGTCAGCCTGTAGGGCTGGAGACCTCCTAACCACTGCAGCAGGAGCTTGCAGCTTGGCAGAAGGGTATCCTTCACTATCCCACAGATTTGCATCCTGCCTTCTTGTCATCCATGGTTTTCAGCACATCATTTGCTGATTGCAGAGATGTGACAAATAATCAGGAATTTTGGGTCTCATCCAATTTATAAGAAAACATGGTCTCGAGCAGGTATTGTTATCTCTCTTTTCTATATACCTTAATAATATTTTGAAAGTGTCCTCTGCATTCTTTTCCAATATATGTGCACTCCATTGACGTTCAATCATTTTATTTTCCTGCCTTCCCTTTTTTTACCAAATTTCACTCTGCATTATTCTTACTCCCTATTTGTTTGCCAGCAGCAGTTCTTAGGCTGAGATTCTCTCTCCTTCTGGATCTCTTTCTCTATTCTCAAGATTGATCCATCTCACTTGAACAAGCCCTGCCTTGTCTCCATCACCTTGGTTCCTAATCTCTTTGCCCAGTTTGCCACATTGTCACCAAAGAAAGCTCCCTTCTGTGGTTAGGTGCACTCTTCACAGCATCCTTCCATTGACCCCAAACTACTGAAGCCTCACTATCTAGAAATGCTATTGCATTCCCAGCTATTTTACACACCCTGGTTTGTTTGAAAGAAAGGCTGTTCCCGTGCTTATTTGCCACTCTGGTATCTGTAAAACCCCACTGATATTTCACAATTCCCACCCTTCCTTTGCATAACCTTCACCACTCCCTTGCACTTCTCTTTCACTCCAGTCTGCTGGAATTCAGCAGTTGCCATAAGATTTCATTGTCTGCACTGATAGTGT